TCAACAAAATTGGAAGAAATTTCATGCTGCACATTTTCTCCAGACGATTCGCTAGTATTATTTGGTAAACTGGAAACGGCGTTTAACATTGCTGGAAGAAAGGAAGTTCCATTTTTCCCTGGAAATGAAGAGACGTTCGAGACCTGTGCATTTTCCCCTAACGGCAAAAGACTGGTGACTAGCGACGGTTCAAACACCATTAAACTATGGGACGTTGCTAAACAAAAAATGCTGTCGTCGCTTTGTGCTGGATTTCCTCCTTATTGGTGTTCTTTTAGCGTCACAGGGTTATTTATTATTGCAAATTCAGAATCTTCACTTTATCATGGTTACTCGTTGTGTTTTTGGAACGCCATCACATTGGAAAGAAGTGATAAGCGAAAATTATCTCACGGGGAAAGGAAGCTAAACCAGTTGTGTTAAAGGGTAGGAAATGTGAACGATGTTTTCAGCGGGGATTTGAGGAACCAAATTCTAAACACTTAGAAATAAGGAGAAGTTGGTATTATAATACGATTTCGTGTCCGTGGATCTGCAAAGGTGTGGAGTGTATTTTTTCTTCGGAAGAATTTTGTTATTCGAGAATCACAGAAAGTATTCCTTTGACTGCGATTGTCGCTTGGAACCATCTTGTTGCTGCTCCTAACTTTTTCCGTGCAATCAAAATACCAACTTTAGAAGATAATCTGTGGCTCTATTTAGAATATGGTACACTAATTGTCTTTAAAACATTAGCTCCTAAACAGGAGCATTCCTGCCCGTCAAAGGAAACGGAAGTTTTTTCGAGTTCGTTTTCTCCTGACGGCTCTCGACTTGCATCCTGCAACTCAGATGGATATATCAACGTATGGAATGTCTATACCAGGCAAATTGAACAACGTTTCAAGAGCAGGCAATGCGGGTCAAAGTTTTTATGCTGGTGGTCGGAAGATTTCTTGTTTGTGAGTATAGTCAATTTAACGGGATTCCCAAATTAACGCGATACCCGGTAGATGACAATCTAGAGATCAGTGAAGACGGGCGCTGTTTCATTTAGAGAACTTTTCAGATTACCGAAATTCTTTGCTTGGTTTTTCTGAAGGCTTTGTCAACTTTGCTGGCAAATGGAACAAACCCGTGAAAGTTCTGGATGTCAGAGATGTTAATCGTCCTGTAATGATCAACTTGCCAGGAATTCAGCCTGAGATGGAAGTGGAAATCTCGCCTGGTGGTGCCTTTATCTCTGGTTGTAATAAGAATAAATGTTATATTTGGAAAAGAAATACCGAAAAACCAATTTCGTATGAAGTGTTTTATCACCTTGATGGTTTAATTTTTTTAATTGAATTAGCCGTAAATTTTAGTAATCACTCCAAAGTCGAAGTAAGTTTCCGTAATCACTCCGAAGTCGGAGTAGTCCGTGAGTGGACAACTAAAATAATTGATCTTGACACTGGTGATTCTCAAAATGTAACTTTTGCATCCAAATTCATTTATCCTTCCAGGTCAATTTGTATTCACAAGAGTAGAATTGTGTTAACTTTATCTGATAACCTGATATCATTTCATGATATGGACTCTGGCGCGATTCTCGACACTTCCTATCAACCATACTTGAAGGCTTTTAGTTCAAGCCAAGCAATTAAACTTTCCCCAAAAGAGGACGTGCTGGCTTTTCCTGAGGTCAAAGGTGATATGGTGTTTCTTCGACTGTCTATTCCACTAAATCCTATGTTGAAAGATATTTAGCGAAGTGCAGTTTCTTTTCTGGAAGATATTAGGCGAGGTGTTGTAGTCAATCCTTTCTTTAACCGGAATAAAGTCGTTTGGCGGAAAAAGATTTTGGTTTAGACTGCTTTTAGGAAAATCTACACAAAGCTAAATATTTTGTTACATGTTGGGTTTCCCCGCAAGTTTTTTATGCCAATTAAATGTCTTCGTTTTAAAAAATAACTGAAATGAACCCGTTCACACGAGGGCAAAAGCCAATAGGAGAAGACTTAGTTGATAGAGACTTTGTTACGAACGACAGATGTTTTGGAGTTGATGTTTCAGTTAGGATGTTTCATAATGGATTTAGTGAGCAATAACATGAAAAACTATCATCTAGAACATTGTTTTCGGGCAGCGGCTAGACTTTGCTTGGAGCTGGTCTAGAATGGAGAAGTAAGACACCTCCTTCCCTCCGTTTGTCTGGGAGTTCACCTTGGGCAAGTGATAGCACTCCCTTGCCTCCCTAACTGGGGTTACAGTTTTTTAAGCAAAACAGAGATGATATCTTGAATACATCTGGAAGAAACAAGTCCTAAAAAACTGTGACCAACGCCAGTCGTATGATGGTGTTGTTTAAGATGTTCATTATGGTAGTTACAGTCATGTTGGTGGTGATAATTCTCATGTATTATGGTGGTGATGGTGCTGGTTTTTACGATGGTACTGATGGTAATTGCGCTGGTCATGGAATAATGGTAGAAATTGTAGTAATATTGTAGTATATTAGCTGTATTTTTTTCCTAATGAAAAATGAAAGATAACGAAAGTCAGTGACGTAATGCGCTAGAAAGATAATTGGGGGGGGGGTGAATATTCATATATTTAGTACTGCCCGACGGATTTCTTTTGTAAGTGCAAAATCCTACATTCTGATTGGCTACTCAACCATTGTCTATTCGTTATGGTGAACGTTTGGGAAAAATTCGCGCGCGACTGTATAAAATTGAATTAATTAATTTTTTTTTCGGTGTAATTGCGGTGTATCGATTATTTTCTCGAAATTAATATATCTAGGTACAGGGTGTATACTAAAACAATTAGATAACTTGCCTTCGTTGTCCATGAGCGAAAAGTCAATTTGAATGACTATTCGCTCATAGACAACACGGACTCGTTGTCTAATTGTTAAATAGAAATCTGTCCGGCAGAACTGAATATATGAATAAACCACCCCATTATCGTTCTAAATCCCCCCCCCTGCTGGAACAACAAGAACTATGTACATTATCGGGAAATTTTATTATCTGCATGGAAAGGAAGATATTTAAAGTCTGAAGCGGGAACTGGAAAATTGTAAAAACTTCCGTGAAATTTAAACTTAATATTAAGTTCAAGACATCTGATGTTCATGAAAAAGAAGGTCACGAAACAATAATAATAATAATAATAATATAAAAAAATTTTATTAATTTGTAAAGCGCTTTTTACATTAAATGACCAAGAGTGCTGTTATATTACAACATAGGTATAAGTATATGACTAAAAATATATTTAAATTATATTAAAACTAGTCTATGCCAGTTTTAAAAGTACTAATAGATGTAATGTCACGAATATCTTTCGGTAACTCATTCCAAAGTCTATATAGGGGTGACCACGCTGAAAGTGCGATCACCAAATGATCGCAAGGATTTACCACTTGGGAATTCTAGCAGTAAACTGCCATTCGATCGTAAAGAATAGTTTCCCTCCTTTTTAATGTTAAGTAAGTCTTTAATATAATGTGGAGCCATTCCATGCAAGGCCTTAAAAGTAAGTAGTAAAAGTTTAAAATTAATCCTGAATTTGACAGGCAGCCAATGTAGATCGTACAAAATGTGCGTAATGTGATCATATCTTAGGGTCGAGGTCACCAATCTGGCCGCAGCATTTTGCACTCTCTGCAGTTTATTCAGCTCAACACTTGGCAAACCATACAAGATACTATTACAGTAGTCTAGACGACTCGTTACAAAAGCATGAATAACAGCAAGCAAATTATCCCGAGATAAGAACTTGCTTATTCGTTTGATATTGTGTAACCAATATAGAATGCTGCGGCACAAGACTTTGTTATATGGTTTGACAACGGCAAACAAGAATCAAACCAAACTCCATGCAAGATTTCTGACTGTTGGGGCAGGAAGAATATCAACACTCTCAATATTGATATAGCAGGGATTAAGTTTTTGTAACTGATTTTCTAAATATTGCACAATTACAACGCCAAACTCTTTCCTTACATTTATTATAATATAGCTAAATTTCTTATTTAATTCATGTCGTATCATATATAGCAAGCAAGCATAAATATATGTAATGAATGAATGAATGAGAAAATAATTAAATGAGAGATAAATATTGTGAAAATGCCTTGAGAATTATGTTTTGAGATATTTTTCTATGTTTTTAAGCAGTTTTGAGAAAATGTAAGCAAATTACCACCAAAATGAAATTTTCCCACATTTTTGCGCATTTATAAAAAGAGTTTGGAATACCATTTATTATAGGCAAAAATGTTCTCCGTGTTTACTACAATTACCCTTGACCTGCATATTCAAACCTAAGAATGTAAATTTATCCCTTTGCCACACCAGCTCACTCATTAGGAGTGGCTAGGCCTTGTGAACCTAGGTGGCGGTAAATATTATATTATATTATACACTGCTGTTTATTTTAACAGCAAACTGTAATTGATAGATTATAAAGAATCCAACAAAAGCTTCTACTTGTCCTCGTACTCTCTTTCTGTCAGGGCTCCAAGCGTCTTCAGGTCGAACAATTCTCGATTCTGCTTCAATATTACGGATCTTCTACGCGGACCGTGATATAGTTATGTTATAAGTGACGGACTACGTATACCCCTAATCACGCGCGTATTCGCCTGAACTTTAGTTAAGTATACCCGATCATGCACTTACTGTGTCGCTCGCGGGAGTTGAATCTGCTGAAACAGCATTTTTTGCGGCATGGACTGGCTGCTTCCTCGTCGTGAAAGTGCATCTTTTAGCCTCTGTGCTGGCTTTTTAAACAACGAAGCCTCTGGTACGTTGTCCATATTTCCAGAGCCTTGCATCTAAATTGAAATATTTTTGCGGATCATGATGTTTATTATAACCGTTTGTTTACTAGCCGTTTTCCTATCGACGAGTAAAACGGCAGAATAAAATATTTTTAGAAAATGATTTTAATTATTCTATCGGAGAAATTAGCAGCTCTTCCAATTCTCCACTGCATGTAAAATGTTGCAGGTCCCCAGCATATCACCCGTTTCACCTGTTCTAAAACGCTATCTAACGTTAATTCTAAAATTTAGAAATGCGCTTTGAAGCGTCACCAAATTATATTCTGTGCATGCTAGGCTGAATTCAAAATGGCTGATTGTAGTTAATAACATCCGGTGCGAGAGAGTTGCCTGAACTGGTGCACTGTTAGGATTTATGATTGGGAAAAACATGGCACCTAAAAAGTCCGGAGGACGTATAATGCGAAAGCGTTTTAAAGCTTGCAAAATTAAAGTTGTTTCTGTGTCTACATCGGGGAATAAAAGAACTCGTAGTGTTGACCTCCATGGATCAACTTCCGAGGTAAAATTGCAAAATTCCGAAGTCGAGGAGATTGTAGATACACCGATGACTTGCCCGAGCACCACGACTGGTTTGCTAGAAAGTGATGGTGAGGACGCGAGTCAGTCGAATACAAATCTGCCCTCAAAGCATCAAAAAAGAAGAACGAGAGAGTTCGAGGAATGGGAAAAGATCAGGGAAAGGCTTCTGAGTAGCCGTTATGAGGTGGATTTCTTTGTAGAGGGCATAATGTGTTGTCAGTGCGATTCACCTGCTGACGTTCGCTGTAAGGATTGTGGGCACGACGTGCACTATTGTTATAACTGTGCCAAAGCAAGTCATGGTGGACGAAATTATTTCCATGTCCTTGAGATGTTTAAGGTAGCGATATATATATATATATATATATATTGATTTCGAAGTTTCCTGTTTTGTTATCAGCTGTACAGCCATGTTTTGCTTGGGATATTTATCAATTTAATTTCAATTTTTAATTAAAATATAGGCTGGTTGTTTTGTACCATTGTTTCCTAATCATATTGTGATGAGCTCAAGCCATCAAAGAAACTGCCCGACTTCCATTGCTAGAAATATTGTGTGTATTGATGAGTATGGTTAGTTTATATGATAATGGATGATTGGAACAGCTTTCATTGATCATTAGCACAATTTAAATTGTGATATTACTAAGAATATAGGTACAATACATAATTATAATAAATATATGTAAGTGTTTGGTTGGGGTAAACCAGATAGGTTATGCATAATATGTGTATAATGGTTTTTTAATATTTGATACAGCTACAGGTATATATGCCCCAGGTTAATTGTTACCAGTGTCATTGAAGGATTTAAGCTAATTCTCTTACACGGTTACTTTTTGCATTATAGGACGGCAACATCTAAAACAAATACTTTTCTGTAACTGTGAAAGTGATGTGGCAACATTGGTAAAGATGCAGCTGTGGCCTAGTTCTGCAAAGCGCCCTGTTATGGCATTTCACTACAAGCTAATGGAGTTGTTAGAAGCACTTGTGATGGAATGTCAAGTCTCTCTTCAAAAGTTTTGTGACATGTTGGGAATTATTAATAAATCCCCCATGTTGCCTAAGTGGGTGAGCAATTTTTTTGTTGTATTTTATATATCATATGGCACATGTCATTTTCATTCCATAGAAATCATTTTTTGTTATTTAAGTACAAATTTTCCAATTTCTTTATTATATAGGTGAAAAATGTTTATTCTTGTTTAAACAGTGATTCTTTTGATGAATTTCGGTGTGTATAAATTTCCACATGTTTGTTATTATAGGGAATAGAGAAGCACGTACTTGATTTTTATACACAACAATTTATTGTTTAATCTGAAAGTAATCACCACACAAATTATACACTCAATCACTCATGAACCATGATGTATTTTTTGTGTGGCAATTAATTTTATTTTTTTAAACTAGAAAAGCTGCTAGAGCAATAGATTATACAAAATGTTACTGGTTGGTCATTTAGGCTGCTCAGAATTGCAGTGCACTGATATGAAAAATGTCAAAACCTGTTTTTTTTTGTTTTAATACAAATCTAATGTACTATTCTTAATTTTGTGTGTTGAACAAAGTATTTAGTGCACATGTTCTGTACAAAGTTAGAATATAAAGCTTTATTTTAAAGCTACCACCAGTATATGAGAAGAAATGGCAAGTTGTACGTCAACAAGGATATGGAGATGGATGAGCTTTGTCCTCTTTGCCCAAAGGTAGTCTCTGATATAATTATGTAAATGTCATCCAAATTTTTAATGTGATGTAGTCACAAGAGTAAAATTGGCCATTATTTAATTAAATGTGGTTCCAATATCATTAATTACCTTTTATCGACCAGGGTCATACAGGAAGTGTAGTGGAGTCTATGGATGGTTGTTTTGGGCTCGTTAGGAAGAAATCAGCTGGTGCGAATTTTATTCCTTCCAGGCATGGTCTCACTATGTTTGCAGACCAAAATGATGTTGACAATTTTGTTGACAATTACACTGAAAGTGCTAAACAGGCCACTGTGGTAAGTTAATAATGCATTAAGTTTACAATTCGCACAAATATTGTACTAGTAATATATGCTGTACACAGTGGCGGATCAAGATATAGGCCGGCTGAGGTTGAATTTTGAATTTTAAAGTCAAAATACTTTAACAGCGACACAATTGATTTTGAATTTCTAAAGAATATTTGTAATTTAAAATCTACCAATGTGATTGCAAGTTACATAGATCTGTAGTAATTTATTTAGTATTTAGCCTTACCCCCGATCCACCACCAGCTGCACACACGAAATTAACTTTGCCACTTTTCCATGATACTCTTCAATTAGTATTGTGTTAGAGTTCAAAATGTTTTTTCCTTGCACTTACATATTGTATACAACTCTCTCAGTTTATATCGTCAGTGACAATATATATATCATGCATGGTATGTGGTAATTTGAATTGGACGAATTTATCATTTTAGAATTGCAATGAATTCAAGTCTGGGGAGGTAACTGATATGCTCAGATCTAAAGGGAAGAACAAGCTCTATGACGAAAAAGGTGTTTTTGGGCGTGTTTGTAGGCACGGCTTCCCCAAAGGATTCCTCAGCATTAAACATGGTGAAAGGTACTGAATTTTAACTTGGTAATAAGCCTCACATAGAACTCAATACAACTAACTTAGTTTTTTGTATTGAGATGCCCACAAAGCATCCATGGTCTTACAATCAAGCTTTATACTCTTTCATTAAATCGCTTCTGCAGAGGATCATCTATACTGTTGAAGGCGGGACGTAAGAGCCTATTCCTAGCGAGATGTACAAACCACCATTTCGAGATGTGGTTTAGATATTCCAATACCGAAAGAGAAGAAGTAAAGTAGCCCTTAGAAGTCGAACCTGGCTCTCTGAATTCCCCTTTTTTGCATCTTGTAAAGAGAGGAAACGATTAAACCAAATTTTTACTGTAACTGAAATATTTTTGTAGGATTGCTTATCCGTTTATGAAGTTGAGCGTCTGTGAGCAAACATAACGGTACAGCCTGTTAACATCAAAGTTACATATGAATAGCGTGTACACTGGAAGCCCATTTGAAGGTTAGGTTTTGTGAGTTAGTTACCACTGTTTTGTATTATAATAAGTCTGGTTTCAATCTTGAAATTATTCTGTGGTAGAAAAACGAAAGGAAGGATATTCTGAATGCAGTTAGTTTTGCTATACCTATTTTTCACTGTTACGGACACAAGTCAGCATGCCAGGTATAATAACATCGTCTTGTACTATGCTATTATATTACAGGTGAATGTGTACCTTGCTCTTATGTTTATTGTTTTTTCGTTAATGTATTCAGATAAAGTTTAGCCCAAGACGGCAACGAGGCTATGCTCTTACAGACGGGGAGGGGATTGAAAGATTGTGGTCCTATTTGCGAGGTTTCTCTTCAATGACAAAAGAAATGAGTGCTGGTCGCCGAACAGACATGCTTACAGATGCCCTATTACATTATTCAACACGGCAACTCCTTGCATGTGGTAGCTATTTCAGTATATTATTCTTATTCAGCACATTTTACCAGTAACCGTTTAAAAACTGTAAAATGGTTATTTGTTAAAATGTTATTATAATATTCCAAATTTTTTGGACAATACAATAACTTATATTTCTATGCACATATAGGGGAGCAACTTTTAACAAAGCTGAAGAGGTGTCCAATCTTAAGAAAACACTGAGTTACAGCTAACAGAAATTTTTTCTGGCCTGTCGGTATGAATGTTTTACTAGTTTGGGCCCAGATACATGCAAAAGACGAAAAATGAACAAGAATAAACAATAAATTACCTGAATGTTTAGTTCCTTATGATGAAGTAGTGGTTCATCGTGGATGAGAGATGAAGAGAATCTGATTTTAGCAAGAGGTTTTACCCCATTGACTTCCAATGCATTTGAGCTTGATATTAATTATTTAATTTTGTCCACTACGTATTTTCTACTTAGATAAGAAGACAGTGGTATTGACATGGGAGCAAAAATATGTTCAAAATCTTATTCACCTCCATCAACTAAGGTTACGTAACATCTTTTTGAAGCTTTGCGTTTCAAAGTGTGTTTTAATGTTATGTTCTATAATGAAGGTAAATTTTTCAGTTTGACTTTTTCTCCTTCTGCAGGTTAAATGTCGCCTCTATTGAAGAGGGTGATCACAACCAATTGGTGGAAGTGGTAAAGAAAACAAAAGAGTAAGTCAGAGCTTATTGTAATTTATATAATGAAATTCTAGTCAGTAATTAATTTGAATTTATTGTTTTTCACTGCTTATATATATCTAGTGTGACGAAAATTGTAAGGAATATAGAGAAAAGTAACAAAGTCTCAAAGAGGTGGAAACCTGGGGAAAAACACTTTAATGCATCAGCTTTATGTTTGGAAGAACAAAGACGTAGTACAGTTGTTGACCAGACGTATAATTTAGCTGTTGAAAGACTTTTTTGATTTCTCTCAAGAGGAAATATTCTGGTATTAAATTATTTTGTTAAAATTGTTCTGTACCCTAATGCTGTGGTTTATAGTAGCTGAAATATTTTAAATCCTGAAGACTAGGGACTGGTTGTGTAAAAACGTAGGTCATTTTAACTACAGTTAGTTGTGTCTGACAAAATTGGCCAATTACAAACGTGTATTTATGACTTAACTATGCACGGCATAGATATTTTTCAATGTAACATAGGCGCGGCGTTAGCCTTATATCAACTTCGCAACGAAAGTGATAAAACAACTGCCTGAAATATATATTTTTTTGGTGTCGTGTAGATGGACAAGCCATAGCGTCAAAGCTGTCCAAGCAGATCACCCGTAAAACCAATGCAATCAAAAGCGTTATAACGAAATATAATGCTTCTTTGACTGCTCTACAAGACTGCGTTGACGGACTACCTGACGAGCTGAAATTTGACATAGCAAAAGACCCAGAGTCGTCACTTTATTCCAACTTCTCCACCCAACGGCCTGTCGAGACTGTTCCTTTTTCCGTCAAGAGATCCGCAATCGACCTGCAAAATTTCCTCGAAAGATGCAAAGAGGAGCAGGAACTTTTGTTAGAGGAAGTTGAAAACCTGTTTATGTATTACATTGAAAAGCGAGATAATTTCACAGAAATTTTAGAACGACGTTGTCTTGAGGAATCCAGGCTATCGAATGGGATTTGCAATCATATAAGAAAGGAGATTTGCGAGATAAACAACGTGTTGGTGTCTTTGCGTTTGACACTTTCCGATTATATAAAACCATGGCTTGCAGAAAAACTTGATAGCGTTGACAGTACATCGTCTTTTCATATGTCAAATGTCTTAGAAACGTGTGTTGAAGAGGAAAGTGAAATGGAATGCATAGATAAAGATGCCATAGAGGATCTTGTGGACTTGCTAGATGACAGAGACGAAGACGAGGAATGATAGGGAATGATTGCTGCATTGAAAACAATCATATCTATAGTATCGGCATCTCTTGTGTAAATAACCGTACTTTCTAATATAAATAAATGGCAGAATTTTGAACAAACGTTTTCGGCCAAGGCAGTGGATAATTACTCTCTATTGGGCAATTGTCATATGGTAACTTATTATTTTCACTTTTTTAACGCGGGACGATTTACTCGTCAAAGGGACACCCTCTGATGCTGTATAGAATAAAATATACTAGTTTTAATAGTTTCACATTACTCTCATCCAAGCATAAAAAGTCGAGTAAAATTCCAATGCAGCTAGCGCTGATACAATCGAAGGATTGAAAGGTTGATTCAAACAGGTAGGAAAAAGTATTTACCTGGCAGAATGGTATTGTGCATTTCTGTTTCGCTCTTAAAACAAGTTCAAATTTCTTTCTGAATACGACGTACTGTACAATCTTTTCAAAGCTCATCAAAAACATCTGATCACGCAGCTGTAAAATGGCCATTTTGAGATTAAGTATATACAGAAGGCTATTAATTGAGACTATTTGTTTTTACCGCTTGCAAGCTTCAAATTGTCGATGCAAGACATTTTTGTTGAGCTTGCATGTAGAAATCTATTGCTGATCACCAATTGCAAATTTGAGCATGAAGTCTAATAAATTGTGATGAATTCAAATGCAACCAATACCCACGGCATAATTGTTTGATTTCAGTTTTCATAGTTTCTACCAACGATTTATTGCTGATCATAGTAATTATATAAGATGTATAGGTCAGAAATCAAAAAACACACACATATAGCTATCTGCTCGACGTATATTTTTATATATATGCTCGGTTACTAAGGTGGGGTTCAGTCCATGATGTAAATAACACTTCGTTGACAGACTCCCTATTGTTGAGATCAAAATCAATGGCGAAGCCTCTTTTTATTCATTTTTATTATATATATACGAGATCTAAACCCGAACTCCTAATCGAGCTGGTTTGCAACAGCACCGTTTAAGGTTTGTCCAGCACCCTTTGGTCATACGTCACGAAATTTGAGTTCACTTGGTTGGTAGGGCCCAGCCTGCACACAAGCGCAAACAAGCGCCTTGATAAGAAGGTGCGAAGAATGGCGAATACCTCAAAATCATCAAAGTTCAAGTTTTTGCCATCAGATTGGAGGGATTCTCGAGCTACCTGGTAAGCTCACAGCTTTTGTACATTCTAGATAGCAGCTATATTGCTATATTAATATCGTTTGCATAATTAAATATTTAAATATATTAAAACGTATGTTTCTTTTATGCATATTGCAGGCTTTCCCGCTTTTATGCGGTTGATTTGTATTCTCGTGTGAAATGTTCTGATGTATTGAACGACCTGACAGAAAAATTCCCAAATATTTCTAAGAGAGAGTGTGGTTTTATAGTTCGAAGATTTTTCCCGAGCGTAAGAAGAAAACATAGTAATCATGTTTACTATTATTCTGGAATTCGTCGTGTCTCTGACCCCAAATCCCTGAACGGCGGCGGATCATTCGACGACGGATCATTTGGTGAGTACAAGATGCAAAACCTTCTGTACATCATACATGTTAATTCAGACCTTACTATTGGTTTATTTGTTGAAAATACAATAGATACTTGACGAATAAGGAGCAATTTTTTGCATAAATGTTCCCTGACATAATTAATGAGTTCTATTGTACTTTTATGTAGTCTGTAAACCCATGTATATTCTATTAACTGTGATCTCACACACTGTACCTTCATGTAAAACATGTTTTAGTTACTGCTAGAAAGTTTGTTGATAAGGCTACATATTGAGGTCACTTGTTCTATTTATGGTTTTGGTCTCTTAGCCTCATATATACCATGCATTTTAAATTTTTAATTAAGTTGCTCCTACTATGTAGCTAATACAGAAAACATAGATGTCATATTGGATGTCATACTGTTGATGAATCTGTAAGACTGTAACATTAGTACTCTAAAGTTCATTGCTGGTTACATAGCTTCAATTTTTTGTTTAGAAAAGGAAGTACCGGTACTGGAAGAAGTTAACCATGATATACCAAAATCTCTGCATGTTAAAAGACAGGAGCTGATTGACGTGCATGACACTGGTATATGTAAATTCAACAATGGCATTGTTGAAACTTTACAATTAAAGCGTTTCAGAGGGTTTCCTGTTGCAGTAAGAGAATGTGAACATAACATTGAAAGTGAGGTGAAATCAATATTAAGATTGCCTTCTCATCCTTCTTTGCCTATTGTTTTGGGAATTTGTCTTGATTGCAAGCCATTCCTGCTTGTGACAAAGTTTTATGGCTCTTCAAAGTTTGGTGTTATGCTTTCACTGTATGCAGCTATAAAAGACAAGTGCAAAGACAGCATTTCTAAGGAACGCTGGATTTCTATCATTCATGGTATCACTGAAGGCCTGTTGCATATGCATGCAAATGCTTTTTGTCATGGAGATTTGCAATCACATAATATCATTTTGCATAGAAAATCCAGGGAAAACAAGTTTTTGCAGCCAGTTTTCTTTAGTTTAGACAAAGCATTGCACATCAAAAAAGAAAACACAATTCTTTTCCGCAATGATGTGCAAAACCTAGCTTCATTAATTGACAATATAAGTGCCAATACTAAAGGTGACAATTTATTTAAATCTGTAGCGGACATAGCAAGAGGAATAGACCAAAGTAGTAGCAATAGCATAGATGTGTTAAAACATATTTTACACCATCTTAAGCAACTATAAGTTTTAGTGGTGCTCTAGCCATGCTTTGGCTGTGTAATACTGCAATAAGTTATTTGAGTTCCATGTATGGGTAAATATATCCTAGCATCAAGGATTGGGTGGGAAACAGGCAGGAATATTCTTTTATTCATGTTAACAGCCTGTAAAGACAATACATTTGAGAAGAATTTGATAATGCAGAACACAAGAATATATGAATATTGCTCCCCCTCCAATTATTGATGCTAGCTATGTACACCACTGTTCATGTTGTCAATCCATTTTTAGTTACAGTACATAAAAATGAACTGTTATTTTAAATTAGTTTTGTATGGCTAAACTGTCCAATTAATAGAATATGAAAAAATAATACATATAGAATATCCTATCTAGTAAAACAGTTACCAAGTAAACTGTTGTAACCTAAAACCCCTTGTAACCGAAGTTAACCCTACAGAAAATCTAGGCTGCTTTGGTCTTAGTGGTGATAAAATTTCCTGCAAGGACTGCGTGATTGCCGGAACGAAGTTCAA